AACAGCTATAAGAACCGACACGGCACTTGGCATCGCAGGGAAAGTGGGGCCGTGCTCATCGGGCCGTACAGCACCAGCTACGGCAGCTGCGAGTCCAGGGGCTTCCTCGAGAGCGTGACGTAGGGCGAACCAAGACACAACCACGCCGCCTGGCAGCATTCTTCTTTGCAGATCTTGGTACTTTACTGGCGTCCATGTCTACAGCTCAGCGATGTTCTTTGTATTCAAACGTCAACGGTAAAAAAGGACAATCTCATAAAGGAGGGGTCTATAAAATGTGTTCCTTGGAGGTAATCAAGGGTCGTACACGTCCCTTTTGTCGGGAAGAGAAAGAACGGCAGAGAAATAAACGATATTAAATTAAAAAGTAGAATTTGTGGGTTTTCACGGCGGTGAGAGTGAAGATGGATGTCTTCTGGGTTGGTACGCCGCGTAGTCCGGTAGAATTTTACCGACGTTTCGGAGGTCCTTGCTGCCTCCATCATCAGGGCGATCGCCTTGATGATGGTTGTAGCACGGACTTACCAAACGGTACCTTATATCAGACTACACGGCGCAACAACCCAGGAGACATCCATCTTCGAAGTTGAAATTCTTAAACTTGTATCATCTATTCATCATTTGTGCCTTTAAGGGATAAGAAAACATTTTGTAATTATCGGGATTCGTTGTCTTTCTTCCTCGATCTCTTTTGCGTTCATATTGCCAATATTCCCCCACTTTCAGGATACCTCAAGAATAGTTTTCTCGTGCATCTTCGTCACTGCTATTGGTAACAAAGTACGCGGTATCTGCACAAATAAACTTTTAATTTGTGTAGCGGAAGCACAAATCTGGTCGTGGCGCCGTGGAGGGTCACATCCACGTAGCCAGAATTTACTGAAAGTAGTCGATCATGAGACAAGAGAAGGCTGTGGGACACAGGCAGTGAACGAATGAATGAATGAGTGGAGTGAATGAGTGAAAGAGAGTGAATTCCTCTGGTTTATAATTATAATTTAATTCTATTTAAAGAATGAGACATGCAAATACTTTGAATAAATGACACCTGAAAAGTCCTTAGTAACAGAATATACAGTAATTATTGAACGAGTGTTCCTCGCTTTCATCACGTTTATAAGTGTTACTTCTTACTTGGACAATTTCATTTAATCGTGCCTTTTAACACTAACAAGGATCAAATAATGCAGGATAACTGAAATGAAATATATTCGACCTCGCTGAGTGAGAGTTCAATTTTGTTGCTCTCGTAGCAACTGGAAGACCTGTTTTATAAATCTGTACCCAAACACAATAAAACACAGACGTGTGTTCATACAATTTAAGTAAAAACTGGGGGCCATCACTGGCTTTGTCTTGAAACAAATTAATCCAGTCCACTTTAATAGTATCATATGTGTAGATCTCATCAAATGGTCTCTGTTCAAGTCAGGTTTTATTTAAGAATATATATATTATATAATGGATAATTATTCATATTTTTGTTGAATATTACATGGAAATTCACAGATCTATAATTCTTCCTTTGATTTAATTAATATAACTTCTGAATTTCAGTCATGTCTGTTACATCCGAGGCTGAAGATTTGTCTGAGTGATTATAGCTCACAGTAAAAATTATACCGAGATCTCGTAATTGGCTTTGGGTTGGGTCACTAGCTATTCATATTGCTCCCTTCACCATTGCCGCACCTAGAGTAATTCTGGGACCCACTCAGCCTCCGATACAATTGGTGCCGAAAGATCTTTCCTCGGGGCAAAACGATTAGAGACAGGATACAGAAGTTTTCAGGTTATGATTCTCACAAATTTAGAAAATAACTTGTATCAGCCAATCTCGGTAAGGCTCGTATGGTAGCCATAATTTCTGAGGTTTACTACGTTCTTGCCTTCAATTATTTAACTGTGTATAATTTACACACAACAAAAATTTTACTTTGTCAGTGTACAAACTACTGTTCAACTGTGCTCCCATCTGGTGGTATTCATTAAAATACTGAGGTGCCGTATGCATTTATGTAAGTGCTGTTTTTTGTCACTGTAAATATTCCATCCCTAGTCATTTCAGTACAATCACTAACAAACACTGTATGTTTGCAATCATAAATAAAATATACTGTCAAAAATTCATGTTTCATTTATGGTTTGAATACCCAACATACATACTACATTCTGTATTAGTTTATATGGCACTGAATTAATTTAACCTTTTATTTAAAGTGGCCTTGTTACACAGGCTAAACAGAAACAAAAACATAAAATCTTTCACTGGAACAACTACAACAAAATATCATGAAGACAAAATGGGGCTAACTAACATTTGGTCACAGTGTACATGTAAATTAACAATGGCAAAAACTTTCACAATTTAATTTAACTTCAATTTTGACATAACAAATTTTAAGAAATGTTATACCACGAACAAAAATTGTGTTAATCTAGGTATCGGACATAAGGATAAAACAATTGAAACAGCAAAAGAAAAAAACAGATTTCTTTGTCTACAAATTGACAATAACTTAAATTAGAAAACATATATTCATTACATTATCCCTAAACTAGACACAGCATGCTTTGCTACAAGGGCTGTCACACCACTCAAAAAAACAGAAACTTTAAAATATAAGAACAAGATACAAATATAACCTTCATGTGTTAAACAATAATCTCAGTAAATATCAAAAAGGGGAATTCCTATACTAGAATTAAGCTATTCAATAATCTTCCCCCCTCATCACCAATATAAAAAGTCTGAATCAGTTTGTTCTATAAGACATGATCGAATGGAAGCGAGCAAAGTAGATTAATTTTAAGTTTCTGTTTTCATGAGCGATGCGAGAGTCCTCATAACAAAGCAGGCTGAGCTTAGCGTACTTATAACGTATTGAATACGTGTTATCCATTTTAAGTTACTGTCAATGCGTAGGCCAAGAAATTTAGTTGTTTCTTCTTCTTCTTCTTCAATTGTTATAACCTCATATCCTACACTTAGATTAACACAGTTCTTGCTGATAGTAGGAAATGTCAAGAAATTTCTTTGTCAAAATTTAATGCAGGTTACTTAGTTTTAATCCCTTTATTCGAGCGAACAAATACATCATTAATTTGGAATCAGTCAATTTCTGGATGTGAAATTATAACATTAGTATCATCTGCAAAAAATATGGGTTCAGACTGAGAGTTAACAGTTGGTGATAAATCATTGCTACATATGAGGAAAAGTTCAGGATCAAGCACTGAACCTTGAATAACCCCATGTTTTACAAATCTCCAATTTTAAAGGTGCTATTATTTGAATCTGGTGATTTAATTGTTTGCCTGTTGCTTTCCGCCATGAAGTTACTGCTTAAACCGCTGAACAGGTATATTTGTAATTAAATAAAAATGTAGTTTTGACAATAACAATTCATGGTGTAAACAATAAAATTCTGAAGAAAGATAGCAAAATTGTTCACTTGCAAGGTAAATGTTTGCTTTTAAAGTCTCTTACTGTCACATATATGACTTTCTCAAACATTTTTGGAAAAAAAAACCCTGTAAATAATTAAATTCGTGTGTAGTTGGATGTGCACGATTTTTCAACTTTGTAAAAGAAACACTGTAGGTTACACAGCTTTTGAGAGAAGTTGTTCATATGTCATCATAACCTCAATAATAGAACCTAACAATGAATTTCCTGAAGAAAATAAAACGAAAGTAAACGTGATGTATCAGTTCCTAGTGTAGGATAGTATTCTTGCATAACCCTGCAAACATTTTACAAGGAACCTTATTGGTAAGGCTAAAAAAATTTAAACTTACTTACCTTAACGTGGTACATCGATGTCGAAAACAATCCACCAGTGCTAAATATGATGCGTGATACACTTCCTGTGATAATATATTCTCTATCCATGACAAGTACGTTGCGAAAACAAAGTCATGCCTTTATGTCATGTTTCGTACAAAATATTTCAAATCGCCATTTTGGAACAGACGATTACACAAAAATCATACCACCTCACTAGATACCAAAGATGCCATTCTACATACCAGGGTGTACACTGCAGCGCGGAAATTCTCATACATTTGATTTCTAGTTTTCCGTAACTAGTTACCAACAACCATAAAATACTTCTAAAGACTCAAATTCCCCTGTAGACACATCTTACTACAGGCCTGCTTAGAGCATTAATGAAGGAACCTATAATTTACAATTCAAGTCCCTCTTGTCAATCCCATTTCCCTCATTGTAATACAAGAAATCCTCCACCAAACAAATTACCCTGCATTGTTATTACAGTACTGGTTCCACACATCCTAGGAGTTTGTTTCTGGACTACGTAAATTAAAGTTTTTTTGTCTCAGTCATACTCTTATTTCCTCAGATCCAGTATTCCCTAGGTTTGCATTTGTTTCCAGTCACTCTGGCACAGATGAGGTAAATTTCCACTCACAATCCCATTTACTCATCGATATTGATTACCAACTTAGCAGCCAGCTGCATAAATTTCTCCACTCCTGGCTTGATATATGTAACTATTTAAACGTTATGGATGAATGAGGATTTGAGATTGTCACGGCAGTGAATACGTATGAAGATGACTGTCGTCTGGGTTGTAGCACTGTGTAGTTTATTGGAAGTTTACCAATGTTCCAGAGGTCCACCAGACTACATGATGCTACAACCCTGAAGGCAGCCCTCTCTGTACTCACTGCCACAAGAAACTCAAATCCTACTAAAAATTAAGGCATAATACTTATTTGTGTAACTGACATCATGAAATATAGAAACAAGAGCTGCGGCTTACACTGTTCAGTTTCAGAGAAAATGT